GTGAATGATAATGGCCTTAATCATTAATACATCAGAGAGTATTTTGATTTTATTAACCAAAATGACCTTTAGCATGGAGGAGTAAAAGAATCCTGGGCCCCTTCTTCAGACCACCATCCCCTCAATATACACATACTCAATGCCATGCAAATCAGTTCTTCCACTAAGCAATCTGTTTCTGAAAGTTTTCCCATTTAAGTTTGTTGTTCTCTCACAAAGATTTCTTCATTGCATTAGTCTACATCTATCAAGTGTCTTGCTTTTGTCTCTAGACTACTGAGACCTCTTGTTTTCTAGTCATCTAGAACCCAGTTCTCTATTACAACTAAAGCAGGGTTGGGGGGGTACGGTACTAAAACCCTGACAAAAATCCCAAGACTTGGCTTCGCTGCCCTGGAATTCTCTTATTATTTGTTTTTCAATGAACCTAGTTCAGCGTGTTATAAATAAGCTGCAGGTGATTCTGATGATACATTTATAAACAAATTACTTTTTATTCTTTAAGGTACACATTTTTTTCTGAGCCACAAACCAGTATTTCCACAGCAAGTGTATTTACAAATGGGACAAAGAAACTGATCAGCACATAATATGCTCATATCCTGATTTAAACATTAAATCAAATTAACAGTGTTGTCTTTGTTTTCAGGAACAAAAAATCCCAGATCATTCTTGGGGCTCACTCAAAAACCAAGAAAGAGCCTGAAAAACAGATAATGTTTGTTAAGAAAGAGGTTCCCTATCCATGCTATGACCAGGACACACATGAAGGTGATCTGAAACTTCTAAAGGTACAAATCTTTGATTATTACTTTTGATTGACTTCAAAGTCACAGAAGCACCTACAATCTGGCCACCTATGTGGAAACCTTTCTGGGTGTCCCTATAGATACAGACTAGAGCTGCATAAGGGGGTCCCTGAGGGTTGGGCTAGAATTTAAATTAAAATGTGACACTTTTAATTATTTCATTCTGTTAACTCTTTTTGCTTGTCTTCCAACAGCTAAACAAAAAAGCAACAATTAATAAAAATGTGGATATCCTTCATCTCCCTAAAGTAGGGGATGATGTGAATCCCGGAACTATGTGTCGAGTTGCAGGGTGGGGAAAGTTTCACAATAATTCACCTGCATCTGATGTTTTGAGAGAAGTCAATGTCACTGTCATAGACAGAAAAATCTGCAATGATCAAGGGCATTATAATTATCAACCTGTGATTGGACTGAACATGATTTGTGCTGGAACACTCAAAGGTGGAAAAGACTCCTGCGATGTAAGTGAAATAGGACCCCAAATTTTAGCTGTTGGACTAATTCATGCAGATATAGAGAACATAAATTCATGCTTTGTCTTGTCATGGCATTAACTTCTACAGGGTCCTAGCACTTTTTCAAAGGAGTTTGATAAAACTCCAGTCAAACAAATTCATGTTCTCAGCTCAGGTGAGTTGTTCATCAAAAATAGCAAGTTCATTGCTAGTGTATGGGTTGAACTACTACATCTTCTTGATTTCATATCAAAAACCACTGAGAAACAATTTTTTCCACTTTTAATATTAATATATGAAACTGAAAAATACATAAATAATTTTTTCCACTTTTCATATTAATATATCAAAACTAAAAAATATATAACAGGAGAGCTGAAGTCAGGGTACCTCTGGGGCCTTCAGTACCTTTTCTCTATCTCAGTACCCCCCCCAAATTCCTCTGCCCTTTAACCAGGCAAGTCTGAAATGCCTGCATTCCCAAGACTGACTGAAGATCTCAGGATAGACCTCCTAGAACCAAGCTCAGCCCCCAGGAAGCAACTTCCAAGCATGACCCATACCAGAGATCATGGAAGCCTCCCTGCCAGTATCCCCTGAGAAGGGCTGGGACAGGGATCTGCTTAAAGACAAGGGTAGAAGAACATGTGACAAGGTTTAAGCTCTGAGTCCTGGCTTGTCATTCCTCACCTCACTGGGATGGAGCTGGTTCCGCAGAGCCTTGCATTTGCAGAACTCTATGTACAAGCCTCAACGGCCCACCATCTGGCCCCACCAGTCCTCCCTAAAGCCAAAGCAGGGAAACCACCCATCAGGACTTCAACGTTAAACACACTGAAATATACTGATTCTAGAGTTCCATGAGAGAGTGCAAGGTCACACACTGGGTGGCTCAGTCACAAGAATATCAAGCAGGGACCTACAGCTAACTGAAGCCTCCCTGCTGGTGGAGCCAGGCAGCTCCAAAGTGTAATCACTGACTTCCAGCGGCTTCCAACTGGATTCTCAAAGGAGCCTCAGAGAGCAATCGCTGTCTATTTTAGAAAATGAAGGAAAAGATTGCTTTGGTTTTGTTCCTTTGGGAAGACAATTATCTGCCAGAGGAACTAGAAAACATGGTTTTTACTCTTTCCCTCAATGTCCTATCTGCATTTGACTATTTTATCCCTTGAATTATTAAGCATTTTGAGAAAATGCCAAGAGAGTTTCCTTCTAAAGCAGAGAATGTCTCAAAATTAGTAGATAATTCAAACAATAATACATGTCTCATTTCAATTTTCACTGGTTCTTTAGACAAATCTAGAAAGCCAACTTGAAAATATTAAAATATACTCGATCATTTTGATTTTTTAGGCACTAATTATCAAGTAAGTCGAGGTTGGTCTTATCTTCAGCTTAAATGCTCCACATTAAATGGAATTGCTTCCATTCTGCTAGTGGTCATGGTTAATACCGGTCTCCACTATTTCTCTTGCTTTCCCCTAGGGAGATTCTGGAAGCCCTTTGATATGTAACGGTTCCCTCAGAGGCATCACCTCCTTTGGCATTCAGGGGAGATGCGGGGACCCTCGAGGACCTGGCATCTATACTCTTCTCTCAAAGAAATTCCTCAACTGGATAATTAAGACTGTGAAGCATGCAGTTTAGATAACTGTATTTCATTTCACTTGCTGTCACTTCTTAATTTTATCATAAATAAAACCAACTGGTATCACTGGACCTGTTTCTTTCCTTTAATTTTTAGCGAGTAGATCTTGACCAGCAAAGTGAGGCAGGATAATATAGAGATAATAATGTGGATAATGCAAAGGAGAGATCAAGGGACCAATGTCACCTGTCTCATCCATGACACAGTGACAAGTGACACACAAATTTTGCTTGAATTATTCACTTCACTGATTCAATGGGACTAAGGAGGAATGACACTAAGGTCAGTCTGGGAACAAGCACAGCAGAGCACTCAGCAATTCTGCCAGGAACAGAAACAGCCAATCTGGAGCATTAGGGTTAAAAGGAATTAAATTTGTCCTTCAAAGGCCATTGTTCCACATCAACACCTGCCATTCAGATTTATGTGCAAGAACCTGAGTTGATGGGAGAAGCAGAAACAAGAGATCCTCATAGTATTTTCCAAAAGCAGGTGAGAAATAGGAATTAAAATTCCAGGGGATATTAATGAGGTGCTTAGTTAGCCAAGAAAAGTATGCAACAGAAAGCCAGCCTCCTTTCTCAGGAGTTGGAATTTAGGCCTTAGATTTTCTAGGTGATTTCTTGGTTCTCTTTGTTCCTGAGCCTTGGTAGGTCCAATCAACATGGTGGGTACAGTGGCTGCCACCCCATGCCAGGGTGTGAGTGTTGAATCATGGCCTGAAAGTTTTCTTTGGGAAAAAACCCAGGATGTTTATCCAGCATGTTGAAGGTAGTAGATAGTCATCAGCCCAGTAGCCACTTCAAGATGTGATTGTGTAAATAGATTCCTTTGATTTCTATCAGTTCCTTTGGGAATATAAATTTTATATATGTGTGTGCATTTATATATATATACATAAATAAATATATATAGGCACACACAAGCTATATCCAAACTAAGAACATACAGCAACACTACTCTTACTTGGCTTCTTAGAACAAATGAAGGAACATAGCTTAAAGGCTGACCCCAAAATATTGGTACATTGGTTTTCAACCATGGTTGCCCATTAGACTTACCAGGCTCTTTAAAATGTCCAATGCCCAGGCCTCACCACTAGAAATTTTTATTTAGTTCAATGGGACCCAGGACAAAGTATTCTTTATATAAGCCCCCCAATGATTCTAATATGCAGCTGGGATGAGAACCCCCTATGTTAGAAAGTAAACTCTCGTGCTAATATCTAAAAGAGATGCTCTAAGAGAGTCACTGTGACATCTTAGGTAGCCACTGTAACCCCTAATTAGGATTTTAACAGCAATAAGAGGATGGATGGAATATTTCCTATTGGCAACATTTATTATAGATTTTGAAAATCTACTTTAAAATAGTTGTATGGAACTCTATCGTTCATTGCTGGTGGAAGTGTAAATGGGTACAGCTTCTTAGGAAAAGTGACAGCGATGTGTCTATTAAAACTGAGTGAACATTTAGGCTGTGACCTAACAATTCCACTCCTGGGTATATACCAAACAGAAATGAGGGCTTTTTCCGACCAAAAGTGTGTCAAGAATGTCTATAGCAGCTTTATTCTTAAAAGTCAAAATTGAAAATAACTCAAATATCCACCCAGAGTAAAATGGGTAAACAATTGTTGTACATTTATACAAAGGAATTTTACACGGTAATGAAAAAGAACAAACTATAGTTACATGTAACAACATGAATTAATCTTACAGACAATGTTGAGTAAAAGAAACCAGACAAAAATTTACTGTGTATGATTTACTGTATGATTCTATTTATCGGAAGGTTGGCAGATGGCATAACTAATCCATGGTGACAGAGGTTAGAATAATGGAGTGGTTTTGATTGAGTAGGCACAAAAAAAAGTCTTTTGGGGTGAAAGAAATTTTCATATCTTCATCTGGATGATCTATCCCTATGATCTTGATCTTAATCTATTCATAAATTAAACATTCATCGAGCTACACACTTAAGATTCATGTGCTTTACCATATGTGAATTATTATTCAATAAAAATTTTACGTTACAAAATTTAAAAAGTCAGTTGTAGCAAAGGCTTCTGTTTTGCGTATTGTCTATAAGCACATTTTTTCTTTACTGAAACCATATTCCAGATTTCTACCAAACCTAACAGCAGTAAAAGATCTACTGCTATTTTTCTTAAACGAGATTCCTTGTTCACACACCAATACCAAGTGAGAGGAGTGATCTTTGGGCATGTCATAGTGCCATGAGATTATTAAGACAGAAGTAGCCAGATCAGAATGGTGGGGGATGCTGGAAACAAAACGGTCTCACCATTTTACTCCTTTCCCTGCTAAATTTTTTCTTATAGTTTATACCTGGCTAAATAAGAAGATCAAATGAAAACCATTATCTTAAAGAAGAAAAGTGTGTATTGCAAGAAAGTATCATATTTGCAGCTTTTGGTGAACTAAAATGTTGTAAGGCAAGAATTACTAGCACTACCAAGCAGATGTTCTGAGTTAACAAATGGAAAAGAACAGAATATATTAGCAAAGTAAAACTAATTTGGCAAGAGAATCCTAATGCCCCTTGTATTTACTACCCTGCTTTTCAATTACCAAGGCTTTTGTTTGTATCATGGGTTCTTTTCTTTTTTTTTTTTTTTTTTTTTTTTTTTTTGAGGAGTGATGTTATGAGTGTGTTTATGTATTAGTAAAAACCATTTATGACAAAGCAAATAAATCAATCAACATTTGTTATCTGACACATGCAAAGCGTTCTAAAGGGTACTAAAAAATATGACATATGCTCCCTCAGCTCCTCCATTTAATTGTCTGGGGAAGAAATAAGCATGTTAAAACTTGGATAAACAAAGATTCACTTAGTATTAAAGGTTTTTTTAAACAACGAGAATAGTATATTAATACCAACTAGGTGATACAGGCTGATGCCATGAATTCAAACCCAGGTAACAACTTTTGAAAACACTTCCAGAAGAGGTTAAGACTTATATGGAGGTGCATAGAAAAGGAAGAAAGGAGGAGGAATTCCAGACTAGAAGAAGAGCTCCAGCAAAGGCAAAAGGAAGGACATCACAAGACTTAGCCTGGGAGTAACATAGGAGGTGAGTGAGGATTAATATTAAGGAGATAGAACAGTGGCCTGGTCAACCTTGAATTCAGAAACCTTAGCAGTTATCAAATCCAAATTCCTATTCTTGCAAATGGTGTGACATACCCAAGGTCACTCTATCAGTCTATGGCAGAGCTGACTTAAGTCCAGGTCCCCTAACTTCAGGTTCTGTGCTCAGAACTCCAAGGTTGAGGCCAAGGGAGTTAGGTAATGGGGAGTCATAGAGAGTGTATGAGCAGGGGACTGGGAGCATCAGCACAGTGCTTTTAGAAACTTAACTCACAGTGGTGTGGAGACTCAAGAAGAATAAAGACAGGAAAACCAATTAGAAGGCTATTACAATAGACTGGTGGTCAGGTATTCAAGACAAGACTAGGGTGAAACAAAAGAAGAGAGAACAAGGGGTAAACTGAGTACACAGGGAGCCGAATAATCAGGAGCTGCCTGAGTGATGGGATGACCAGGATAAGGATGAGACCATGAAGAAGGGAAAGGGAGTCCCACGGAAGACCTCATTTTGAGAGGAAATAATATGCATGCTAAACATAGAGCAGAACTTTAATCAATATCTTTCAAGTGAATAAATTGTGTTTTTAGTGTATTGAGTTTGAGCTAAAGACAGGAAGGAATCGCAATCAAAAAAGAAATATCTAGAAGCAGACAGAAATATGAGGCTGGAGCAGTGATGATTACATCTCTGACAAGAAAGAAACAGAGAGGAAGAAGAAAAGGGGAGGAGGAGGAAGAGGAAAGGAGGAGGGGAGCAGAGAGTGAGAAGAACAGAGCCAAAGACCATGTCTGGGAAGTGCAATGGGTGGAAGCAGAGCAAATGAAGCAACCTGAGAAGGAGAGGTCGGGGAACAGGCATTCACTTCATGAAACCACACCATCTCGTTTGAGCCTCATAACAACGCCATGGAGAAGGCAAGGCTGGTATCACTATCCTTGCTTAGAAATGAGGAAGCTGAGGCTGAGAGGGGCTGAGGGACTGACTGCAATTCCACACACAGGCTGTGCCATCAGCCGCAGCAGAAAACACACGGGTCTGGTCTGGACTCAAAGCCAAGTGCAGAACTCTGCCTCTGTGGCCTGTGGGAAGACGGAAAGACAGTTCACGTTCCATGTGACAAGGGCTGCTGAGGACTGGGAAGCAACCTAAGCAGGGGCCATGAATCCCATCCCAGGATAAAGGGCTTCTCCAAAGACCTGCCACACTCGGGGCTGGCACTCCCACTGGTGGACTCTGGGCCACACCCTAAAGTGGCGAGGATGTGTTTCACTGTTTCTCCCTCAGGGCACAACCCCCTTGTGTTGGTTTCCTAAGGCTGCTGTAATGAACTACCACATACTGCATGGCTTAAGACAACAGAAATGTATTCTCTCACAGTTCACGGACCAGAAGTCCAAAATCATGGAGTTGGCAGGGCTGGCCCCCTCTGGAGGCTCCGGGGTAGATTCTATTCCTTGCCTCTTCTGGCTTCTGGCCATCCTTGATCTGTGGCCACATCACTCTAGCCTTGACTTCTGTGGTCACATCGCCTCTGCTTCTGTGTGTCTGTTCTCACTCTGTGTGTCTCTTATGAGGACATTTGGCATTGGATTTAGGTTCTTTCTGGATAATTTAGAATGATCTCATCCCAAGATCTTTAATTTAATTATATCTGCAAAGACCCTTTTTCCAAATAAGGTCACATTCACAGGGTCCAGGAATTTGATGTGGATACCTCTAGGGGGCCATTTTCTAGCTCACACTCCCCTCATTCCCTGCACCATTATTAGTTCTATCTCCTCTAATCCACCAATACCCACATATCACCATGGCTGTGCTCCTACCACACACCCCATTCCTCTTCTCATCTTCCCCTGAAAGTCATCCCTTTGGGACCTAGGTTTGAAGAAGCCAATCAAATAAAGTGATGCAGCCTAATGGGAAAGAACCAAAAAATCTGTCCCACAAGGCAAACATGAGTGTTTCATATGGAATTTGGGGGACAGTACCCCTCTTTCTGTTGTCTAACTGATGAATTCTCAAAGATCATTCCATGGAACAACAGTTCTATATGAGGTTGATAGGTATTAAAAATGAAAAGAACCTTTAATGTTCACGTTAATTTGGGAGCTCCAAGTTAAGAAAGTTAAACAGGATTCCTTATTTCAAGACTGCTATATGCATTATAAATATTTGGGAGGAGAGGCTAAAATAGGCAGCATTTCTGAAATGTGTTTGACCAGAGTCCTTTTAACTTGAGCATCTCAAGCAACTAGTGTTCCTTGGAAAAATACTTTGCAAAACCTATCCTAACCCAACAATGACTTTCAAGATCGAAGCTTCAGGCCAAAATAGACAAGGCTGACCCACAGAGGAAGGCTGGGAGGATGGGGGAAAGAAGGAGATTGGACATGTTTTTGAGTGGGTGGGTGTTTAGGGGCACAACTAAAATCAGAATAGGTGGGTGATCACCTCCTTATTGGAACTGTACTGCTCACAACTCAATTGAGAGCTGGAATTTCAGAAATAATCTTGTTCTATTACGTTCCCAAAGGAGACATTTCTTAGACACTCCAGGCTTTTTCCATCTACACATCGCTCCCAGTTGCTTTCATGTGTGCTTACACACACACACACACACACACACACACACACGCCCTCAAGGGGACATGGGATTGGCCCTAGGCAGATTGGTGCATATAAATTTTTTAATTTATAGATATGCAGCCCTCTTATTTTGCAGATGAAGAAAAAAATTAAGAATATTAAACACCCTGTTCAAGGTCACACAGCTAGTTAATGGCAGAGCCAGAACCAGAATCCAATTCAATGCTTTAACTATTTAGACCACACTCCAAAGCCAGAGCATAGAAGAATCTCTTTTTCTATTGAAGGTTGCTGTCCATTATTTTTTAAATTAAAAATTTTAAAATTAAAGCCATATAAAGGAAAATCAACCTAATTTAGTTAGGATAAATATAGACTAATGTACTAACACTTTTTGAGAGGGAAGGCGTGGGAGCTAATTAGGTGTATTTATTTATGTATTTATTAATGGAGGTACTGGGGATCGAACCCAGGATCTCATGCATGCTAACCATGCACTCTACCACGGAGCTGTACCCTCCCCTCTTCACTTCTAAATTGAACCTAAGAAAGAAAAACCTATTCAATAAATATAATTGGTGATAAATATGCTTTCATTCTTTATTGTGGTTTGTTGAGATGACAAGGAAGGAAGAAGAGAAAATGGAAAAAGAAATAATAGTGAGGAGAAAATCCCAAATCTTTTACAGAGTAGACTTTGAAAAATATCTTGACTTAAACAGTGGACAGCTACTTCCAGACCTTGTTAGGAAAATGGTGTCTGGATTGGAAACAAAATCACACCTGAAATACTCCTCTCACATCCGTGACAATCTTAGTTTACTAGTGAGTGGGAAATGCCCCTTATCTCAGACAAAGGTCCTCTTTTAGGATCTACATCCCTACATTCCAAGAGTACTGTCCCAGAAAGCACTGAAAGCTTTGTTTTCTTTATGCAGCTATAACCATAAATGAGACCACATATTAATTCACATGCTCTGAACCAAGTCAAAGGCCAGATCACTCATAGACTAGAAAGCTACCTCTGCTGTTTCAAAGCTTAGAAATTATAACTCTTGGAAGGATAGGAGAGGGAATTATAAGGTATCTTTCTTCTGAAGCAGGTGGGTGAGGCTTCCTTAAATAAAAATTTCCCCCAGAGAATTATGACTATGGGCATGACCATAATCTAGAAGAGCTTTTTTCCAAATTTTTTACCACAACCCAGAGTAAAAACTACATTTAATTCAGTGACCTCATACACAGGCACATATATGTACTGACGACTGTAACAAGCTTCACAAAATAATATCTATGTTTCCGTTTTTCCATTTTTCCATTCTGTACTATTGTATTTCTTTCTTAAGAATACTGATCTTGACCCACAATGGAAACGTTGACTAAGATCTCAGCAGTCCCATTACATGCAGCAGTGCCCCCTGAAGTGTGTTCATGAAGCAAGCACCTCAAGCTGCTCCCATACAAAGATTTCCCGAATGGGTTTGTGAAACAATGAGTGCTACAGCCTCCTCTTGGAGATTCACAAAACATATAATGTATCTGAGACTTTGAGATGTCCTTAGGGAAAAAAAGTTGTTCTTGTTCAACCCAGAATTTCCAAATTTATCTGACCACATGATGTGTGTTTGTATAACAACCTTCCTGCTAAACACTTTTGGGAAATACTGTATATAGAAGAAACTAGTGGGGTAGAGATGGAAAGTAGTGTCTAAGAGTTCAAAAGTAACTGCATCTTCTTCAACCATTAACATCTTAAGAGAAGGAGAAAAGGTTAAATGTACTCTTTGGATTTGTTGTCTAATATCAATGAAAAAATTCACAAGGAATTAAACTAAGAAACATAGTTTTGTTTCTCTTGTTAAAGCCAGAGAAACACGGAAATACACTGATAAGTACATTCTTTATTCCAAGCATCAGCAAATTGATTCGCGTATTTATCAGTGCACCCATCTAGCTGAAGAACCCTGTCTAGCTCCTAGAATTGTAATTTTATAAAGTGGGTTTTAATGCTTGATTTAAATAATTCTCTAAACTGAAAAGGTCCAGTGAATTGTATGTCTTATGATCAAAAATATGCAAAGCAACTCGTGCTCCTCCTGCACTCATGCCGGCCATTGAAGTGACTCTGACAAGAGCTGTCTGTATTTTTATTTACCAAGTCACACAGTATAACAGCTGAAGGACATAAAATCATTTTGAGGCTAACCAGAGCTCCAGCCAGGCTGACCAGCAGAAGCAGGAAGTCTTTCTGTTAAGGGTGTTTTGTTGTTGCCAAATAATGTTCTCAGAATCTCCAAAGAGAGTCATGCTATCATTGCTACCTAACATTTTATGTATTTGGTTTTTATCTGTCTCCTTCCACAAAAGTGTAGACTCCATGAGGGCAAGCAGATTATTGTTTCTCTGGTTCACCTGTATATCCCCAGCACCCCAATTTAAGTATAGATGCTTAATAAATAAATATTGAATAAATAAATTCTGAGGATGACCAGAAGATAAGTTGGGCGGCAAGAGGAAGAAGATAGGATGTGTAATTGGAGGTCTACATGAGAGTGGATACCAGTGTTCTGTTTCTTCATCAACCAGCACTTTTGCCTGTCTGTTTCCCAGGGCTAGGTAGAAGGAGAGACTGCTCACCTTCATGCCCTGTAACATTTCACATTGCACCCAAGAGCAGTTAAGACTCTTGAGGACAAAGCCTGGTTCTTAATCTCCATCATGGAGTCTTGCTCTCAAGAAGTTGCCAGTAAAAGATGATAGAACTACAACAAGAAAGAACAACCTTGAAAGGGCAGAGGCTCCCCAGAGTCTCACACTTTGGAGTGGTCTCCCCACAGAGAACAATGCCTCACACTTTCCATATTTTCTTACCTCCCATGCATTTCAGCACTGCTGGTTCTTCTTCAGAATAGGGTAAAATGAGTTACAATGCTAACTTCACAGTTCAGAAATACAGTTTAAAACCTGTCCCTAATAATCACTGCATCATCCATACGCGTATGAAAGGAGACATGACAGTTATCAGTGGTGAACAATCTTAGTCAAATTCAGAAACACTCATGCATACACTCCCTGAGGTGTGACGGGTGAAAGCCTTTTTCCTCTGATGAAACGTACACTCCAAGGAACCGGACGGAGACAACCTTCCATTCGTGGCTGTTTCCACAAATAGCAACTCACTTTGTAATAGGTACGTGGCATTTTACTTACCTATTTACTTACCAAGAAATCCACCGGACCTGTCCAGAGCAGGACAGGCCCACACAGTTATATCATTTTTAGGAGAACCTTGGCCAGTTGCAATCTCCTTTGTCTTAGGAAGCCAGATTAGGGAACAAATCTGTAATAATGACCCCCAAAATATAGAAATATGACAATTTCTGATTCATTGTGAGTACATGTTAAACTGATTCTAAGCAGTCTGTTCTGTCCATATCCATCCTCCAGTCCACTCATGGGGTAAGGGTATTAGAGAAATTACATTAGTTCTAGGAAAATGTATCCCAAGGCAACAAAAGACTAAATACACAAATAGGCTTAGGAGCAATGAACCTACAAATTTAAGTGGACTATGATCATTATCAGGAACATACAGACTGCTCTGTTTCATAGTCAAAGTCAAGAAGGAAGGGAAATGCAAAAAAAAAAGGCTAAAAGGATATACAAGTTAAACAAGTTAAATTAACTTTCAACTCACAGATGAAGAGGTTTTATAGAAAGAAATTCTTAAGAACTGAAATTCCTATGGACTCAGCAGGTAAAGAGAGGTGTGCTCTATCATAAGTTATTTTCACAAGATTCTAGAAAATCAGAATCAAGGTAAACTCCAGAGGAGACCTTTACCTGTGAATTTGTACTTGGGGTTTGGGTGCTTTGCCCAGTATTTATGTCCAGGATGTGTAAGTGTCCATCCTTCATTCCTCCTCCAACAGCAAGGACTTCAGACTGCCAGGGACACCAGTCCATGGCCTTTAAAGTTCAAAATAATCACACAGTCAGGTCAGCCTTGGAGAAAGTGAGCTCAAGAATGTTATGCATGCTGCTAAGGCGAAGTGCCAGAGGTCTGCACCCATCGCAGCCCTCCTGGGCCTCTGATCCCAGGGCAGGAGCTACTGCACTCTCCAGAGACTACTTTTCTCAGAGACTAGAAATCACCTGTTTGTGCCTTCTTCAAATTCAGATAACAATTTCAAATATTTCAAACACAGAAAAATAATACAACAATATGAAAAACCACATCCAACACATCCCATGGGGCAAAAATCTGCTGCTAGAGTAGTTGATACATGCCCCTAGAATCTGATTATGAAATGCAGTCTTTCTGTGGTTTGTCTCCCGCGTCCTCAGGTTCTAGGTCAGAGAAGGGAATAAGCAAGAATAGAGAGCAACTCAAAAAAACTCATGTATTTCAAATCCTAATACACTTTAAAAAATAAAATTGCCTTTTCTTTATTTAGTTATAAGTTATTATGTTAATTCTGGAAAACAGAATTTAATATTACACATTTATATTGATAATCAAAGTGACTAGTAACAATAACTTTAAAGAACATTTTAACAACTATTTCAGTTACATTTATCTGTATATCCTTATCAATCATCCTGACAACTGTTCTTATTTTTGCATATTATATTCTATATGTAAAAGTATTTTATAAAGTATTAAACACAATGTATATAATATTTTATCTTACCTGTCTATTGCTTTCACTTATATAAAGAGTTTTCCATATTTAACGTATTTTTCATAGTGATCATTTTTAATAATCCCACAGTAAATTCTATCATGTTATTGTACTCTAATGTTTGTTCTATGCTGGACTCAGGTTGATTTTATTTTTAATCTTATTTTGGTTTGGTTTGTATTGGGTTGAGTTGAGTTTTTTGGAGAGAAGTGAAATTTTTGTTGTGTTTTTTGTGTTTTTGTTGTTGGCTTTTGAAAAAGATTACTATAATAAATATATTCTGGCATATGCTGTTTATTTCTGATATTTTATTTTTAAAGTCAATTCCAAGCTTTAGAAGTGCTGATATAGAGTTTTCCAAATAGTTCTAACTTTTAACAACACCAGCGTCAAGTGAATACACTAATTACATCCTGAGTTTAGGCTTACTTAGAGTTAAAAATTAATTCCCCCATCCCACATGCCCTTCTAGAACTTTGCCAAAAGCCAGAACTGCTCAGAAGAATCCTTCCCAAAGTCTGACCCACAGAAACCATAAAAGACAATAAAATGATTGTTGTTTTAAGCTACTATGTTTGGGGATAATTTGTTACATAACAATAGATAACCAGATAAATATCATAAATAGAAAACTTAGATAATGAAATATGGTTGTAGTTCCTACAAGAAAGACAATGAAGAATTCTGATCAGCCAACCTACACTCAGACCTAAGGGCCGTGGCCTTATATTGCGAATAAATGTACAATTTAATTTTCAGTTGAAATAAAAGTTGACAATGTATCTGTATCATGTCATGGCTACCTGCCTTAACTGTCTTTTTTAAATAACCATTCAGCCATGCCCTGACTAGGCTGGATAAGAGAGCTATTTCAGGGAACACAGAATTTTGCATACAATTTGAAGAGGCTCAGAAATTCTCCTGACTCCCTGGACCCCTTTTATCATAGGATGCATATTCGTATTTTTTATTTTTATTAGTAATCATTTCCTTCAATATCCTACTTCCAATTAGCTTTTACTATAAACAAGCTATTTTGGCAAAACTAGAAGCTCCACCATGAGAGGAATCACACAGACGTCAACCTCTGAAGTTCGCTCCTGCTATACTAATTGGTGACAGTGAGTGTGAAAACATTTACACTAGTGACCGTTTTGTGATTCTACAGGCCGTCGCTGCCACAAGGCTCGGCTTGCTCAGGTTTCCAGAAACTCTTAGTTCAATTGACTGTATTTCTGACAACAGGGCTTCTAAGAATGGAAGCAGCTCTCTGCAGGAGGCCTTTTGTCTTGTCCATTTAGAAAGCTCTATTTCAACTAACCTTTACCCCAGAGGCCTCCATGCTTAACTGACCTCCAGCCCAAGCACACCTTTCACACCTTTTGATCACACAATGCCTCCCCTAACGTGTTGATTCTATTCTTAGAATAAAGCCACTGTTCCTTTTCCAACCAGCACTTGCCTCTCAAGTTCTGGCTTTCAAGTGGTGAGCAGCTGAACCTGAGTTCAGTAACAGGAAGGTTTTGCTTGGCTTGGGTTTTTCATCTGTTGATTTTTTGTTTTGCTTTATTTTGGTTTTGTATTTTGTTTGTACGCAAAATATTTTACATACATCTTCCCTAGATTTTTTTCATATCATCAATTATGGGAATTTGGACTTAAAATTATTCTCCATGTCCCATGGATATTAAAAACCACAAACCAGTGCTACTAGGCCAGTACAATGCAGTAGCAGCAGGCACTGTATATTCCACCTATAGTAGGAAACTCTGTGATAACTTTTAAGCTCTCATTCTAATAAGTTTCCTTATAGCCAATAAAATAGAACCATTTCTTTGCTCTATGAATAGTAAATATTCTGGGACTACACAGGACAACGCATAAATCTGTGGTACCAAAGGAAGGAAAGTATGGACTTTGCCCACTAGAAATAATAATTTCAAGTACAGAGAAATAAAAAATGATGAGGCAGAACATGGTGGAGTATTGGTTTAACCCTACAGTACACTTCCTCCTTCTTCTGGCAATGGGTTTCCTTTCTTGGATGTGAGCTCACGAGCCAGGCGTATTCAGTTAGTGTGCCCATCTCTCTGGCCACAGTTATCAACTGAGAGATGAGAACATGGCCAAAGCCAGACCAGAGTCCTGCCTGGGACTTTTCTACCAGTGTTAAAGGGAATAATGGTTTCTTATTTAGTTTCCATCTAGGAGAATCTGAGTCTGAAGCTGTCAAGAGCCATCATGCCCACAAAATAGAGTCCGAATGAAGAATCAAACTAAACAGACGAGCAGAACCAAGAGCCAAAAAGACAGGGCCCTCATGATACTATTTAAGGTCCTACATCCAGCCGATGTTTGAAACAGTTGTATGCACCCAGGACGCCTCCAATACACGAGAAAATATATTTACTTTTTTGCTTAAGTTCAAGCTTGATTTTAGTTTCAGTCACTTACAATGAAAAAACTCTGACACACGGTGAGGATAAATAGAGCTGTCTCTCAGGAAAGTGGTAGCAAAATCCAAAATAAATCCTGAGGGAAGAAAAACCTCACAGTACTGGCTTAATGGCTTTGTTTTCATGTGTGAAGGACACCCAGTGGTCTCTGAATAAAGAGAAACCTCGTTGGATTTCTTACCTTGACTGCTGTAGGTTGGGGTATGACTTTCAGTGGGTGACCCTGTGCATTCGTGCCTGGATCATGGGGCCATATGGTCAGCTGCCCATCGCTGCAGCCACTGGAAAGCAGCCTGCCGTCTGGCGACCACTTCAGGGCACACACAGCTTGCTTATGGTGAAGTGTTCCAATGTGGTGCTGGGCTGCCCGAACATCGTGGTGATACACAAGGCCCAGTCTCGACCCACTGCAGAGGTAATGGGGTTTATAAGCCCTATTGCTACATGAGCGCTTGAAAACATGAAGGGAAGTACTGTTTAAAATACTGAAAGACCCCTTAAGACAGATTCAAAATGCAGACATCCCTTGAATTAATAAGGGGTTGAGTATTCTGCCTGAGTGATTCTTCTCACAAGTGAAATAGATTTGTCTGGCAGTTTCAAATCTGGATATTGAAAAGATACTTTTGATGGGTATCTCTAACGTCTTTAATATGATGCAGGTAGGCATGGAGGAGATACATTTAGAAGATTATCATATTTTCCCAGGTAGAAGTTTATGTACTGGACCTAGGAAATATTACTTTCTGAAATTCAGAATATTTCATATTATCTCAATGAAATCTCATATATATAAACATTAGATATAGAAATGTATTATTTCCTTTTTCTATTAATCTACAGATCTACCATCAGTTTGCTAGTGCTACTAATATCTAAAGACTACAAAACTATCTAAATGTCACAGCAAACTGCCATGATTCAGAATCACTGGACGGTGTCTCTACTTTCAGTGATTTGGATCCAAATGATGATAAAGATCCTATCACCCAAAAATAATGAACTTTTTCTGCACTAATTAAATTTTCTCCAAGGAGAAAGTAAATAACTGCCTACAATTATTTCTGAAATTTCTCAAAGACCAGTATCATATTTCTAAACACTACTCAGGCACAGCACCGAACAGCATTCTGATGAATATGGACTCTGCAGCCAGAGCACCTGGCTCCAAAGCCTGACTCTTCCCCTTATACTAACTCTGTGACCTCAGGTTAGTGTTTCAGTTTACTCCTCAGAAAAAGAGGATGGGGGTGGGCGGTGGAGAGATGCCACTTCCTAGTGTCACTGCAGGGATTAAAACACAATTATACACATAAAGAGTTACTTCAGTGATGGGAGATAGTATTGCAAAACTGTTAGCTGCTGTTATTATAAGAAAGTATTTGTTCATATTCATGAAACTAAGCTTAAACAATGCAGATTGTAAAGGTATAGAACTGACCTGACTGCAAAAACTTCTCAGGGTAAATATTTAGTCCCTTACAATGCATTTTGCTTAAGAAGTTTTACATCTGGCCTATAATCACAAGGTATTAAAATTTCAAATTTACAGCTGAGCCACTTAAAGAAATTGTAACAGGCTTCAAAATTTATTTAACTTAAATCTACCTTAAGAAAAACATTGTGAAGATGAATAGCTATTATTGAACATACGTTTAGATCAATTACGTAGGCTCACAGGGATAAGTCACTTAACTTTTCTAGTCAAAAAGAAGCAATTAGATTACTAAATCAGTAGTTCTCAAAAGTGATGAAGCCTCGGCATACTTGGGAAATTAGAAATGCACATTGTCAGCGCACCTGCAGACCTGCTGGGTCAGACATCCCTGGAGTGAGGGCAGCAATCTGGGTGCTAAGGAGCCCTCCTTAAGGTGTTTCTGACAAATGCTCAAGTCTGAGAATCACTGAATGGTTAATCTATGAGCTTCCTTTCAGCTCTAACCTCCGCAGGTCTGTGAATTGGAAAAACACCCTCAGAAAGCTAAACATGTTCCAAATCAGTGACACTGATAGCAATAAATACTAATCTCAACTAAATATCCTTCTAGTAGGCATTACTTGGCACAGAGAAACTTTTTGCTCAAACAGAGTTTTACATTTCATCTGAACAATTTAGTGAATCCTGAACTTTACATTCCAGTACTAGCCCATGCTGTAGGCACACAGCCACCGTGGTACATGTGACCACTGGACCACTTACATCACCAGAAGATCTGAATATCTGAAAGGTAGCATCATAACTGATACTAATAATGTCTGTTTTGTGGGGGGGTTGGGTTTTGGTTTTAAATATAATTCTGTTCACTCAGCACTCGTAATCAATTGGTGATACAAATATAATTGGTTCCAGTAAGATGCTGCTCACCTGCTGAGGATATAGTGATTCCAGCTCAGAGCCCCAACCACTGACAAATGACCAAGCATATTTCTCAGCCGCTTTTTAGTTACCACATCCCACAACTGAAAAAATGAACAAGCACAGTTATGTAGCATTGACATTTTCACAACCCACTGTCTTCTCAAGGGCCTGATAGCCAACTGATGCTGACATAGCCAGTCCTTGCGCTACGTGAAAGCTCAGAACCTCTAACCCTGGTCAGCCGTTCTCAACGCTGTCTGCATATTAGGATCTCCTAGGGAGCAGGCTCTGGATGCTGGCCATTCTGATTTAATGGTAGAGCCTGGCGGTAGAGCCTAGGGATATGGCGTTTATTTTAAAGTTCCCCAGGTGAATTCAATGAGCAGCCAAAGGTGGGAATAATTATCACACTTCTAGTTTCTTCAAATTGTGGGAATTCCAAACTTGGAAATCCACCTACAGTTACCAACAAAGAAAATTTGATGCCTAGACACTTTCTAGAGTCAGGAATTTCATTTGTTGCTAAAAGACTCCTTTCCTCCTAGCTATGAATGACATTCTGACCATATAAGGAATGAAAACTTTGGCGGAGGAAGAAATCATGACATGACCCTCATAAGAATCCAGTATCATTACAGAGATGAGAAAGCTGTAAGAACCATCTGTGGAACCTCCAAACTCATCCAACACCTGAACAATATTATTTACATTGTTGCTAATAAAAAATAATAGTAGTAATGATACATGAGGAATTAGATAGATTTTGTGGAAACTTGGAGAACTTATCAGAAAAAAAAACTCACTCATTTTAAGTAACTCTACTCCTGATCATGGCTTAAGGTAAGAAATGAGAATCCTCTTCTCTCCAAAGTCCTAAAACTGGGGATTTTATAAGTTTAACTTTAGTTTGAGAGAAAGGACTTTAAAAAAACAAAACAAAGCAAAAGGAAATGTGACAGAAAGAAAGATTTTCTGGAAAAACAAAGCAGAGTATGCCTACATCCTCATTAAATGCCATTCAGAAAAGATATGACCGCTTATTTCCCATTGCTTCAAATACCACACCTACTATAGTTTCTTTATTTTATATTAACCTGTTATTGGAAGTGAGTCTTAGTTATCTAGCAGTTATACAGAACACATTATGAGAAAGGAAAAACTGTCCAGTACCTGTACTTCCCCGTCGCTGGTGCCAACTGCCAGGCAGTTTCCTTCTTTTATCCAGGACACAGAAGACACATAGTTACAAGTGAGACTTAACTCTATATTCTCAATCCCATTGTGGTCTTCCCCACTCCAAATGTATATAGACGATCCAAGGGCTATAGCAACAAGATTTTGAAAATTCCAGTCTAGGACATTCAGATCTATAGGAAAAGAATTTCAAATTAGGGTGATTATACAGCCAAATAAAAATATTTTCAAATAAACAACTTCATTTATAAGTAGAGGAGAAAGATTAATACCTTCCCCATGGTCAGCTGGACAACAGAACCATGGATCCAAGATCATTAGACATTCAAAAATGAACACTGAAATAGAATCTTGTATCAAGATACACAATCTAATAAGCAGTAACACTTACAATTTACACTCAGATATACTTACTTAGAGGCATTTAGAAAACCTGGCAGTTTCATATACCATTATTAGTATACATGGATTTCATCTAATAGATCACTAAAAATTAAAAGCACTTTCTTATGAAGACATTCTTGGGCCTAGAACATCCATATGGGAGATGCCACCATTGTTTCTAACCAAAAAGATAATCCAACTACAGTGTATCTGGAAGAGGTGGTCTCTGGCATATTTATGATACTTGGAAGTTCTCAGTAGTATTCTCTATCTTCTACTGTAAGAATTCTTTGACTGCTGACCATATTTGTATGACCACATACTAAGATGAACTGTATCACATTTCTTGTAAGACAGAAACTCCTATCCTGACTGACATGTCAGTACAAAACTATGAAGGACACCAGTTCCCCTAGAGCACTCTAAGCCCCCTATAACTCATGCCACCCACTGATGAGAACTATAAACTCTGAACAAAATACAAAAAACCAACACCTGAGAACTCTATAAAATAGGCAAATCAGGTAAACTAATAAGTAAGGGAGTCAAAACTTGGACCAGCAACCTGCCCAGGGGTGAGTTTTACACTTTTTCCCTCACACAGCTTTACCCTGAGGGTGGGCCTCAATCATGGAGTAGCACCAGCAGCTCAAACTCTGAGAGAAATCCCACCCTGTTTCTGGTCAAAGAAACCAGAGGAAGGAGTCTGAGGTAGCCAAAGTGTGAGGAGAAAGTCTGGGAGGAGATAGAGCCACAGAAAGGCATCCTCTAATTATAAGTGTATGAGCCCACACCCACCTCTGTCTAACCCCAAATCATTTAAGTGCAGGGAAAACTCAAATTATTCAATCGAAAGAACATGGCAGAAAAAATTTAGAGAAATGAACAGACCCTCAGGGATTTGTGGGAAAATATCCACAGATCTAACATATGTGTAATTGAAGTCAGGTCTTGGAAACAAGAGAGCAAGACTTCAAATGAGGTCTCACCAGAAACCATGGAGGCCAGATGTAAGTAGAACACCTTTAAAATGCTGAAAGAAAATATCTGCCAACCCAGAATTCAAAAATATCATGAAATGGAAAATAATATGCATAAGAGAAGTCTTCACTGACAGACTTGATCTGCAAGAAATACTAACGGTGGATTTTTGACTGAAAGGAAATTATATGAGAGGGAAATCTGGATCTTCAGGAATGAAGGAGAGTGTTGTAATTGGTAAATATTTGGGTAAATAAAAAGGATAGTTTTTCCCTCTTAAAATATTTAAAACACAAATATATATGGCTTTTTAAGGTAAAAATTTAACAATGGTGGAGTTTTCAGTGTGTAGATGTAAAACATAGACAGCTACAGTAATCACCCCCAAAAAAGTTGGGTGTTGGGGATACCTATGTGACTAAAATTTTTATATATTGTGTGACATATGCAACAGTAATTCTAAGTAGACTGAGAAAGTTTAGATTGCATTGCAATCCCTAGAGCAACAACTAAAAACATAAAAAAAGGAGATAAAGCCAGAAAGCCAACAGATCAACTAAAATAGAATAGAAAAAGAAAAGATGTCCAAGGAATGAGACTTGGTGCATTCCAAAATTTAGGAGGCACAGATAAAGAAGAGGAAGTGAAACCAGCAAAAAAAAAAAAAAAAAGGACCAAGAAAGAATGAACAGACAGCTAGGAGGCAAACCAAGACAGTGGAATATTATGGAGGTGGGGAGTGATCAACTTTCTCAAATGTGGTTGAAAAAGTTAAGTAAATGAGCTTAAAGAGTGATTATTGGATTTAGCAACGAAGAGTTTTGGGTGATGTTTGGAAGAGCAGTTTCAATGGAATGGTGAGATTTGAGAACTGCCTAGTTGGTTCAAAGACAATGTGAGGAGAGAAATAGGAAGATAAACATCTTTTGACAAGTTTTGCTATCCAGGGGAAGAGAGAAAAGGGGTTATGGCCTGAAGAGCAAGTGGGAACAAAAGGTTTTTGTTTGTTTGTTTAACATGAGTGTTGTGTTTTTTAAACACCTCTTGAAATGAATTCTTCAATTTTCATTGGTCATGGCAACAAATTCTCTAAGAAACTATAGGAGAAGAATCATTCCCTTTAATAATTTTGTTTCTTCCTGCTTATTCCTCCCTGTGAATGTTGTGCAGCACCCAGACCTCTTCCCTCTGCTCCTTTCTCCCTCACTAGGAGAGCTCACACTGGCTCTCAGCTTCAACCATACACTCTAGTCTTTCATCTCTTTCAATTAACAACCTCATTTGTAATGATCTGCCAGAAACTCTTAGATGTCTTACTGTCTCCTCAATGTAATATTGCAAGAATAGTCTTCCCTCCCCACACTACTTCTCCTGCTAACTTGTCTTCCCAGTGACATAATCTTTCACCTGCTTCAAAACTTGGAATAATCTTAGATTTATCCCTCTTCCCATATATTTTCCTCATGGAGAGAAAATAGTCCCTTACTTTTTGGTAGCTCTCCAACTACATGCATTTCATGCCATGAATTTTCCTTTGATGTTTCTCCTAGTTGAGAATTCCCACAACAAATCTAAAAATCTACACCAAACTTTTGAAATTCCTCCATAATCTGCATCTGTCTCCTAGTCACCAGTCCCCAATGTATCCTTTTCATTGCCATTAATTATCAGTAATTACCAACATCCTGCCTTTGTTCATGCTACTAACATCTCTGAAAATACCCTATCTTCTCTCCTCCACTCCTCCAAGTCTCACTCATCTTTCAAGACCCAGCTCAAGTCTGAATAACTCCACAAAGTCTTTCCAAACAATCCCAAAGGTCACTGAACTACTTCCAGTCCTTATAACTCCTTACATCCCACAATTTATTATTTATACTCTATACTGGCATGTTGGTAGCAGTTCAATGTGATTTAGTCCTGTCTTCCCAATTAGATTACAAGTTAGAGACCAAAAACCAATGTGGTTGTTTGACTAATGAGATTTATCCTTTTTTGAAGTATAAGCATAAGAATAGGCCACTATTTATACAGTTCATTCTAATACAGTAAAACAAAATGTGTATTTCTTGTGCCCTACCAAGACCAACAATATCCACTCCTGAATATGAAAATCCCACAATGAAGCCAACTATATTAACCACATTTGGATGGTACACCATTTAAACATAAGGCAGAAGGTCATCTAGTTCTTCCAGAATCAAATTTCAAGTTTATGCCAGAGCACAGGATACATTTTGTCATTTCAATTTTTCAATTCATGATCTAAACAGTAACTTACAATAGTCATTTCGAAGACCCATAAGATGAATCTTCACCTCCGGTTGGAGTATGGAATAGTTTACATCACTGAACCTCTGAATATGGAAGCGTTCATCTCTGACTCCATCACTGCAGCCTATAAGAAATGAACAGTTCTACATATCTCTATGATCCTGAAAACATAATATTTATCCTTGTAGGCATTAAGAGAGAATGGAGCAAAAAAGAAAGCAGTCATAATGATAAAATTGAATTGCAAGCTACAGGGGGAAGAAAGGGAAAAAAGACCTCAGAATTAATTTAAACAATTTTTTAAAAATATTCAATGGCATTTTCTGATAAAAAGCACATGAGCACCAGACCTAAATGTAATGACAGATCTTGTGGGGAACACATAGAGACACTACATCATGCTTTGAATATTGTTCTGTCACTTGAGATTTTAAAACCAAAGTAATGTTTGCATGTTCATGTGTCTATCACATCAAAAATTATCTAGTAGACCTAAGCCCTACTCTGAGTCTTTGTCAATAAATATTTGTTGATTCATTAATTTTCGGCTCTTCCTGTCACTATTTCTGTACCAGAGCACACAGAGTTACTTTTGGTTAGTGTTATCTGAAATCAAGGTTATATCTTGTGCTCAGTTTTACTTCTCATCAAAAGACCCCACTAAGTCTAAACCACAAGCCACTCTCTTTTCATCTTTCCAACCATCTGGTTTTTAATCAAACTGAGAATGATCAACAGGAAATGAGCCCACCCAGGTGATTGTGGTCCCTAAGACCACATGGAGTCTGATAAAAGCATGAGGGCTTCACAACGCTATACCAAGAAGCCAAATTGTTACTCATAGTCTCAGTGTTAACTATGAAAACCTGCAGTTGTGTGCAGGCTGCAATGTTACTAGAAATACATACTCAAGCACTGCCAATAATGGTTCAAAAAAATCAAGTACAAACTTCCAGTTATAAGATAAATCAGTAGGAGGTAATGTGCAGCATGTATTGCATGTTTAAAAGCTGCTTAAAAAGTAGGCCTTAAAAGTTCTCATCCCAAGGGAAAAGGTCTGTAATACGTCTGGTGGTAGTATAAACTAGATTTATTGTGGTGATCATTTTGCAATATATACAAATATCATATCATTTTGTTGCATACCTGAAGCTAATATAATGTTTTGTGTTAAAAAAAAAAGTAATACTCAAAGAATCAACAAAAAACTTCTGGAACTAATGAGTGATTATAGCAAGACATAAGATTAATTTACAAAGTCAATTGCTTTCTTATATACACAATAAGCAATAGGAAGTTAGAGTTACAAGCACAACACCATTTACATAAGTACCCTCAAAAATGAAATACATAGGTATAAGTCTAACAAAGCATGTAGAAGATCTATATGAGGAAAACTAAGAACTCTAATCAAAGAAAATCGAAATAAATGAAGAGATACTCCATGTACATGGCTAAGTCTCAGTATTATTAAGAAGTCAGCTCTTCCCAACTTGAGTTACAGATTCATTGCAATATCAGTTAAAATCCCAAGTTATTTTGTGGATATTGACAAGATGATTTTTTTTCTGAAAAATGCAAAGTATCTTATATTTTAAATTCAGAACTTCCAGATAAACTTACATTATTTCTCTACTTATCACATGCAAACTGGCACAGGCAAGGAGGACCAAATGTGTTTTTCCTTCTCTATAATGAATCATTCTTTTTTGGGTGGTCTCCTTAACTTGACATATTCTTTTGCTTTCAAGGTAACTTTGGGTCAGCAATCACATTGACCTCTGTGGGATTCCTGAGATACCTTTTTCATTGCTCCAAGCCTATCTAAGAAGGCCAGTGGATGCTCCAAGATGTAGTCTTTGCATGCATTTTCTTTTAAAAAAAATCAAGCTTTTTGGTGAAAACCTTGTATCACAAGTCAAACAGCACAGAACAGAAGCAGCTGCTTTCAGAGCCTATTGTGGACTTTGTGAGGGAGAGGGACCTGTGCTGTTAAACATAAACCTTGCAGATCTGTTGGCTTCTCAGTTCATAGCATTTGGCTCCCTGGCTCCTGAGCAGCTCCTTCTCCTCTGCTGCATCTCAAGCTTTCATCTGGAGGAAGTGGGCTGTAGAGGTGACGAAATCATAGTGCCAGTCCAGATACTGCAGGTAGACAAGCACATGCAGGGCGTACGCCAACGCCAGCAGCAGGACCAGAGACATTGCCAGGCCAATCAGAATGGCTGGCGAGAAGGAAGAGGCAGTCTCGAGCCCTGGCAAATTGTCCCCCCTTGATGGTAAAGCCTTGGATTTGGAAATCAACAAAAGTGACCTCCCACAGGCTTGACATATCATTGGTGTCACTGGGCAACAAAAGGACATCGTACCGCTGCAGGCTGCTGACACTTTGGCAGTGGTAGGAGTAACTTGATGGAGCATATATGCCAGTTGCATTAAAAGTTGCTTGAACTGAATTATTGAAAATAATCTCAAGTCGGTGTAAACTAAACCAACTATGCCTGGACAACTTGTTGTAATTGGTAAGGGTGAGTCTTATATCTAGACCTTTGGGATTTTCAGTAACACCAAACTTGAGAGACAACCCTAAAGGCTTGCTCCATTGAAGGGGTCAACTTACATGGCACTTTCTTCACTGCAATTTGAATTGCCAGCATCCACTGTTGCCTTCTGGCCAAAAGCTTCTTCTGTAAGGTCCAGCCAGGTCTGATTCTTAAATTTAATTGTTATTCTTTTGGCCCAGAAGAGAATGCAGGGAATTCCATCCATGGAGACATTAACCAGGTTATGATGACTGAATGCATTTCAAGGTTCTTTTTCTTAATGTCTTTGTCTGCTCAGACTGTAGTTGAGAGCCTGTGTGACCGGTATTTTTGTGAAATTCTGCATTGGCTTCGTATTTCCATTATTCTGCTGATCACTCTTTATAACCACTTCTTTATTTGAAGATGTTCGAGAGCTGAAACAAATCTGGCTCAAAAATAAATTGCAGTTCTCTGAATGGTTCTGTAACTTCCATGACCAGACGCTGAGGGCCAACTCGCCTGCCCTCCAGCTCCACGAAGCCCGCTTGACAAGCTGATTTTAAAGTTTATATGGAGAATATCAATATAATATTGAAGGAGAAGAACCAGGCTGAAGGATCTGCATTATCTGACTTTAAGACTCACTAAAAAGCTACAATAATCAAAACAGTGTAATATTGGCAAAAGAACAGACAAAAAGATCAATGGAGCTCAACAGAGAGCCTAGAAATAGACCCACACAAATATGGTCAATGGATCTTTGACAAAGGAGCAAAGGCAGTAATAAGTACAATGGAAAAAAGTTAGTTCTTTCAACAAGTGATGCTGAAACAATTAGACGTCCACATGCAATGTGGAAAAAAAATAACTGGATCACTTTGCTGTACACCTGACACTAATACAATGTTGTAAATCAACTATACTTCAATTTTAAAAAAACTGAATTTAGACACACCTTATATCCTTCACATAAATTAACTCAAAATGGATCATAGACTTAAAAGTAAAACACAAAACTATAAGAATCCTAGAAAATAACATAGGAGAAAATCTAGATGTCCTTGATTTTAGCAGTGACTTTTTAAATACAACAACAAAAGCATGATCCATGAAAGAAATCATTGATATGCTTGACTTAAGTAAAATGAGACACTTCTGCTCTGCAAAAGACATGTCAAAAGAATGAGAAACTAAGCCATAGACTGAGAAAAAATATTTGTAAAAGACATGTGATAAAGGATAGTTACCCAAAATATACAAAGAAATTCTTAAAACTCAACAATAAGAAAACAAAAAACCAGACTAAAAAATGGACAAAAGAACTCGATGCGTCACCAAAGAAGATATACAGATGGCAAATAAACATACGAAAAGATGTTCAACATCATATGTCATTAAGGAATTGTAAATTAAAACAACAATGAGACACCACTACACATCTGTTAGAATGGCCAAAACCAAACCACTGACAAACACCGAATCATGGCAAGGATATGAAACAACAGGAGCTTTCATTCATGCCAGTGGGGATGCAAAATGGTACAGCCACTCTGGAAGAAAGTTTGGCAATTTCATACAAAACTGAGCATGCTCTTATCATACAACCCAGCAGTCACACACCTTAGTATTTACCCAAATTAGTAGAAAGCTTATGTCCACACAGAAATCTTCACACAGACACTTACAGTAGCTTTGTTCACAATGTCAAAACTTGGAAGCAACCAAGATGTCTTTGAATAAGTGAATGGATAAATGAACTGTGGTACATTCAGACAATAGAATATCATTCTGTGCTAAAAAGAAATGAGCTATCAAGCCAGGAAAAGACCTGGAGGAAGCTTAAATGCATATTACTAAGAGAAAGAAGCCAATCTGAAAGGGCTACATGCAATATTATTCCAACTATATGACAGTCCAAGAAAGACAAAACTATGGATATAGTGAAAGTTCACCAGGGATTAGAGAAGGAGGAAAGGGTGAATAGGTGAAGTACAAAGGATTTTTAGAACAGTGAAGCTGCTCTATGTGCATTTATTATGGTAGATACATGTCACTACACATTCATCAAAATCCATCAAATATACAACACCAAGAGAGAACCCTCATGTAAACTACGGATTTTGGATGACAATGGTGTGTCAATGTAAGTTCATCGATTATAACAAATGTACTATTCTAGTGTGGGATGTTGATAGTGGGGGAAGTTGTGTATGTGTTGTGGCAGGGGATATATAGGAATTCTCTGTACTTTCTGTTCAATTTTGCTGTGAACCCAAAACTTGTCTAAAAAAAAAGATGGATGGATGAATGGATAAATACATACATACATAGAGATAGATAGATCTCCTAGGATATCAAAATAATACGTACAGGCTCTCTGCCTACATAGGATACATAATTTCTATTCCATGTCAAATATTCAGCATGTTATAGAAACACAAACTTGTTGCCGATCAGATCACAAGATGGGAGAGTAAGGGAAGACATGTTCCTAGATATTTTATTTTGCTTTTAAGAAAATGTAATTCTAAGGAAAAGAGTAAAGAAGGAAAGGATAAGATTCACTCATTCATCCCAACTGTACATTCCCAAACTTCCCAAAAGTATATTCAGTGGGCCTGAAGTTTTTTGTGCCTGTTTTTATGTGTCTAATTCCATTTTGACCCCTTTATACCGCTTGGAAACAGAGGCATGAAAAACACATACGCACGAAGTTATCTTATCCCAAAGGGAAATGTCACAGGCAAGTTTCCTTGGCATTTGTGAATTGAACCACTAGTTCTCTTAAGTTTCTCTCCCAGAGCTAGTCTCCTAATTAATTATTTTCCAACCACAATAACAATCTCATGAATGACACAAAAACTTCCAAGATGAAAAGAGGAAGTAGGAAGGAGAACACGTGGGGCTCAGGGTAAATTTGACTGTCAGAGCACTAAATGCCGCATGGAAGGAGGACCTTCTGGAAACTCCCCAATAGCAATATCTCCCCACTGCAGGAAAGAAAGAAAGGAAGGACAGAAAGGAAAAAGGAATGAAGGAGGGAAGGAAGGAAGGAGGGAAGGAGGCAAGGAGAGAGGGAAGGAAGAAAGAGGGAGGGATGAAGGACGGAAAAAAGAGGGAAGGAGGAGAAGAGGAGAAACAGAGAGAGTGAAAGGGGGAGAGAGAGGAATGACAGTGTCCAAGAAATTTTAAAATTAAAATTAGGACAGCCAAAATAAAAAGTTTAATAGCAAGGCTAGTGGACAAATTGAAGTAACTACTTTGAAAGTAGAAAAAAATGAGATAAAAGATAGACTAGAAAAAAAAAGAAAATTAAAGAATTCATCCAGAAGGGCCAACAATTATGCTCAATATTTCAGAAAAAAAGGTAAAAAGAAGGTAAAAAGAAACAAAGGTGGCTGCACCAAACTGAATTCCCACCAGCAGTGTAGGAGGGTTCCCTTTTCTCAAAAGACTAGGAATAGACTTAACATATGACCCAGGAATCCTGCTCCTGGGCATATATTCAGAAGGAACCCTACTTCAAAATGACACCTGCACCCCAAAGTTCACAGCAGCACTATTTACAATAGCTGAGACATGGAAACAGCCTAAATGTCCATCAACAGATGACTGGATAAAGAAGATGTGGTATATTTATACAATGGAATACTATTCAGCCATAAAAACCGACAAAATAATGCCATTTGCAACAACATGGATGTTTCTGGAGAATGTCATTCTAAGTGAAGTAAGCCAGAAAGAGAAAGACAAATACTATGTGAGATCACTCATATGCGGAATCTAAAAAGACAAAACAAAACAAAACAAAACAAAAAACAAATACAAAACAGAAACAGACTCATAGACATAGAATACAAACTTGTGGTTGCCAGGGGGATAGAGGGGTGGGAAGGGACAGACTGGGATTTCAAAATGTAGAATAGATAAACAAGATTGTACTGTGTAGCACAGGGAAATATATACAGGATCTTGAGGTGGCTCACAGCGAAAGACAATGTGACAACAAATGTATGTATGTTCATGTACAACTGAAAAATTGTGCTCTACACTGGAATTTGACACAGCATTGTAAAATAACTATAACTCAATTTTTAAAAGTTTAAAAAATAAATAAATAAAATTTTAAAATTATTTAAAAAATAAAAGAAACAAAGGTGAAGAAAGTACTAAAGAATAATTCAAGAAACTTCCCAAGAACTAAAAGACATAGGTCTCCAAGATTGAAAAGACCCACCAATGTGCTTTTCAATTACAATGAGATTTTTCTAAAACCTACACAAAGTTTTATCATCACGAAATTTTGAACACTAATAATAAGAGATTTTTCTACGTGCAATTCAGAGAGAAAAAGCAAATGACATACAAAGCATAAGAAGTCACAATAGCATATGATTTCTCAACAGCAACAGTGGATGCTAGAAAACAATAAAGCAATACCTTCAAAATTCTGAATGAAACTAGACTTTGTAGCCAGCCAAACTATAAATCAAGTGTAAACGTAGAATAAGCCCAAAATTTATGTGTGGCCATTCTTCTGACTTGGCTTGCAAGTCTGTTGCTCTACTTTAGACAGATCACTTTGGTGGCAGGACTGAGAAGATCTGAGGTGGAGGGATGTGGGAAGCAGATGAGCAAACCCAGAAAGAGCACAGCATAGCTGCCAGGAAATAGTGGTTCTGATATCAGAGAAGAGAAGTCCCAGAACTACGACCATGGGACTGGCCAAGAGAGCAGCCCGTTCAGCAGGCTCTGGGTAGGAGGCCACCAAAGAAAACAGGAAACGTTGTGAGAAGGTGCATGGAGAAGGTTATTGATAACCATGGAACAAAATATGAGAGCATTTAAGGAAAAACTCATAGTTTCATAGATACCGAATAAATGAAAAAATAAAGCAACTTTTCAATTCCAGGAAAAACAAAGAGTTATATTAGAAAAGAGGCACAGTTAAAGTACACTGCTTGGCTTGGCAGCAAATAATAGTTGAAAAGTAATATGATTCAAACATTAAATACTAATTTTACTATTTAAGAATGTGATATAAATAGATAGAGGGAGATGAAAGAGAAAGGAGAACTAAGTTCTTACTATGCTAGAAAGTTGTGATGAAGCCTATACTTTTCAAAACAGCAGTTTACAAATATTATTTAGAAAACAGGTGTAAATACCAGGGGGAATAGCCAGAAAGAGCTAAGAGTGGTTGCCCCTAGAACACGGGAAGTGGGGGTGGGGATGGTTAAGACAGAGGATCATGAGAATTATCTAAATTTTACAATTATGTTGACTTAGTCTAATAAATATAAAAATGATACATTCCAAGATAAGGGAGAAATGAAGGATGTAGGGAGAAAGGAGGGTAGGAAAGAGGTCAAACAGAAAATCTTTGACCCATACCTTTCCAAATGCACTGGGATTGCTCACAGAGCTGCATTTTCCCATTCACATGCTGAGCCACCTTCTGGGTTGAAAATAACTGGTTTAAGCACTTCTAAAAACAAACAAAGAAAACATTTATTTAGAAATATATATGTATATCTCAGATGCGATGCATGGTGTAGAGTTGAAACTAGTAATTCATTAGGAAGATCAGAAACTACACATTACCAAAACCAGCAGTACAATAATCGTCATTGTTTCTTAGCTAACCACTGTGTGATGAACCCAGTCCTGAGTGTTCTACGTATGTTATTTCTAATCTCCCCCAAGAACTCCAGAGGCAGGTATTACTAGAATAAAATCCTCTTTTATTCTTCTAACCTAAAAATCCTCTTAGCCCTCAAACCAACCATAGGCCAGTGATATCATCAAAGCCTGCAAGAACTGAAATGTCATATTTCTAGTACTTTCTGAAATTAAAAGACCTCAAAATAATAAGGTTGAGCATTAGTAAGGCTGCTTTTTTCCAGAAAGATTTCTTTCAAGGAGTGCCTCTCAAGCATTCAAGCCAGAGATGTTCCCTCCGTCTGTTACTGAAGTTTTCTCGGGACCTCAATTTTCCTCACCTGTAACGTGCTGGGATTAAACTAATTATCTTAAAGGTCCTTTTCCACTGACACCTTTGCCCATGAGAAATGGGGACATCAAGCCACAGAGAGCTTAAGTAAATTGCCTAAATTTCCACAAAAATCTGATTACTATCTCTCTGGGCTGGTATATAAAGAGCACTTCTGACATTCTTACATCCAACTTCAATCAAAAACAGACAGGAAAATTAGTCGTGAGGGGAAAGAAAAGTACTTATTCCAGAAATACAATAATGAATTGTTAAAGCAGAGATGATTCTCTTTTTTTTTATTCCTCCTTTACAATACATTTAACCACTGGATCATCATAATTCAGACAAAGTCTCTCTGCCAAGCATCATTTTGATATTTTGGTTTTCTTCCCAGATATTATGTCACATAATAGGCATTGCCAGTCAATGAATCATTGATTTTCAGGTAGTCAAAGTAAAACAACTAATTAGAAGGCAGGGTTTCCTAACCTCAGAACTATTGGCATTTGGCAACAGATAATTTGTTATTGTGGGGACTGTACTGTGCATTACAGGACATCTAGCAGCATCCCTAACCTCTGTCTACTAGAGATCCTCCTCCTGGGTCGTGATCATCAGTGACGTCTTCAGACATTATGTCCCTTGGGGAGCAGAATCGCCCCCATTTGTAAAGCACTGGTATAAAAACATTCCTGAAATGGCTTGCTGGCCAGTAGCTCAGTGTAACTCTTCACAGATTCATTTCTTTGGAATCCCATAGTTACCGCAAAGCTGAGCGAGGCATTGCCCAGTGTGCTTCTGCTCAGCGTACCCAGGGATACTCTTCCCTAGGTGAGAGCTACTTATCGCTTTAATGAGCAACTTGGCATAGAGCCAGTGGATATGAGAATTCTGAATGTCTCCACAGCTGTGTGGTTCTCACTGTGGAAACCCCCTACAGACGACCTCTGAGGACCACATGATGACATGTATTTACTGTCAAAGTGAAAGACCTCACTTTGTATCTGCACCACTCTCGCTGCTGTTAGACTTCTAACTAGTCATGACAACAGATGCTCTATGTGAAGTAGTAAAGCAGTTTCCATTGTCCCCTGCCCAGGTTCTTCAGTGATGCTGGGACGATGTTCTGGCTGGGTAACAATTGCTGTAATGATGGTAACTTGCCAACACCATTGTGATCCCATGTGAACAGAGTCACCAACTTTGCTGCCACCAGTTACCAGACAGCACAAGGGGAAGGAAAAGGGAAGTCCTGAAGTTTAGGGCAGTAAAAACTCCAATCGGCAGCAGTATGGAAAGGACAGTAATCTGGTGCTAGTAATCTGGCCATGAGCTCAACAGCACCCACAGTTACCTCAGTAGAACCCCCTAAACATTTCCCCACCCCCACTCCCAAACCCTTACCCAACAATAAAGCACCAGCAAAAGATCTGCTCTAATACATTTGTTTCCAACCGCATTATGAGTTCAAGTAATTAAATTTTACAGTCACAGTCTTTTATCGCTCCTCCAGTAACATATATATGCCAGAGGGGGCACACACTAAATGAGTAACTTTGCCTAAACAGAACTTATGACATTTCCAGTTCAAAGTTTTCTAAATAAAACATTGATTCCTTCAGAGCTTTTCACTGAATTTGATAAACCTGAAAGCATGCTACTGATATTTAATGTGCTTAAAGGATTTAAGGTGGACTCCTATGAACTTAAAACAATAAGTAAGATACTTAAAAGAACTAAATTAACTTAGTTGAGAAACTAAACAACAATAACAAAGACTTAAGAGAAATAGCTAAAAGGCCATCTTACAGAGGACAAGAGACCTCGAAGGGTGGACCAATTCACCACATATTTTCCAAATAGTTGGGAAATTATTGCACAAGAGATCTTTTGGCTGAAAGGAAACATAGCATAGTACACATAATTTTATTCTATTTTTAATCTTATCTTTTTGATGGTTAGTCTCATCTCTTTTTTGATGGATACTAATTTTTGATGGATACTTTTTATGTATGTGTTGGATGTTCTATTTCATTTTGGAATTCCCTCTATTCGTGTCCTTCATGCATCCTTTTTTTCTGTCAGGAACTCGTCACTTTCTTATTGATTTGTAACAGCAGATAAGCCAGCTCTTATGTCACATTTGGGACCTAGTCTTCTGAGCTTCTCAAGGTGTGAGATCTTCAGTTTTCTCTCTCCACCTACCTGGCCTTTCGAGGCAACATTTTCCTTCCAGCTTCCATCCAGTGCATGAGGTTCCTTGCAAAAACAGAGAGCAGAGTTAATGGTTCCAAAATTTCCCCTGTTGGGGGTCTTCAGCGGTTCTTTGTAGGATCCTGCCAGAAAAACATTTAGTTTTGAATTTGAATTTTGAATTTTTAAAACAATATAATCTTTTAAACCTTTGTGTAGAGTTCAGCCCTTGGCATGTACAGTAGAACAGAATGTGAAGACACAGGTCCTCGTCTTTCCAAAATTCCGGGGTAGAGTAGGGTGAAAGGGATGGCAAAGGGCCTTATCCAGAGTACTGGGTTCATAAGTGAACACCAGATGAGAAATTGCCTCAGTGGCCTCCAGAGCCAGGAGGAAATGCCAAGATTAAAGACCTGACCTCAACTGCAGCAGCAGCGGCAGCAGCAGCAGCAGCAGAAACACTTTATCTCTGCAAGGGAAGAACACAATTGTACCTTTAAAGAATGGATACAAACAGTTCAATAGTTTAAAATGATGGAACAAAGAGTATCTGGTTTGCCCAGGCTGTGATCATCCTGCCAGGAAATCACCATGGGATGCTTGCCGTCTGGTCTTTGACGTTCACTACATGATCATGAGCAAATCACATCCCCTCCCTCTTCCTACTGCACAAAGATAGAAAGAGAGTTTGAGATGACGTTGCTGAAACGCTTCCTAAGTTACAATCATGGAAGAGTCAATGTCATTTGCAGTATTAGTATCCATTTCTATTCTCTTCTTAAGATTGAGAAAGCCCTTTACCAGACTTTTAACTGCACTGAAAACTTTGACAAGTCATCTTCTAAAACTAAATATCTGCTATATCACTTATTCATCAGAGGATTCAAGGGGCAATTGGATTCAGTATCTTGGCCTTTTGCCATGTGACAGTCCCTTCTGCATTTGGACAAACATAGGCTGGATAAACTGTCACTAGTGTTCCTAGAGCCCCTCTCCTCGAGTCCTGGGCTATCCAAAATCTAAGACCTTTCTTACAACCCTGAATTTCCTACTGCTTCAACCAGCTACTTTCAGTATTGATACTGATCCATGGGAATTTCATTTGCTTGAAAATGATTTGGAATGACAATATCCATTCTAAGTGAAGTAAGACAGCAAGAGAAAGAAAAATGCCATATGATATAACTCATACGTGGAATCTAAAAAAAAAGGACACAGATAAACTTATTTACAAAACAGAAACAGACTCACAGACATGGAGAACAAACTTATGGTTACCAGTGGTTAAAGGGAGCGGGAAGGGATAAATTGGGAACTCAAAGGTTACACCTCTTGGGGAGTGATGGAAATGTCAGATATCTTGATTGTGGTGGTGGTCATTGGTGTATACAGCTATCAAAACTCATTAAAGTGTACATCTGAAATACGTGTGGTTTATGGTACAGGAACCATACCACAATAAAGGTGTTTTTTAAAAAAAATGATTTGGGCTCCCTTTCAATCTGCAGGACTGCAGTGCCTCATTGTGTCTAATATCATTGAGAAAAGAGTGACATTACAGTTCACATTTGGCTTAAACATGCTGATAAGACAATGAATTATGTCGCCTAGGATTTTAAGAAGGAAGCACAGAAATTAAATCTCTAAATGGCAAATTTTGCTTCTGAAGGATGGGAATAAAAAAGCTTGTGCTCACATGAGACATATTTTAGAAAGATAGCTTGTGTTTCAGAGCTTGACTGGTTGATCCTGGATCCCTGCCCACCAGATCAGGGCTTTGGTGCCTATTCCCCATCCCTGCCCCAGGCAGGCATCAGACAGTCCCACTCTCATCTTTCCTTCCCTTTGCTTTCCTCTTCCCTCTCTTCTTGTTTCCCTCCTCTCCCCTTATCTCACTTCTTCTCCTTCTCCTCCTCTCCCCCTTCCCCTTCCCAACTCCATCTCTCCCCCTCCTCCTCCTCCTTCTTTTCCTTCTTCTCCTTCTCTCTCCCTTTCTCCTCTCTCCTTCCCTCCATATCTCTCCTTTTCCTTCCTTTTCTTTCTCTTCCACGCATCTCCTCCTGTTTTAATCTTTTTCTTCTCCTATTTCCTACATGATTATTTCATTACTAATATATCTTTTTCCTGACTGTTTTAGACAAGGAATATTACCAGAGTCATTAAAAATTCGATACTTTGCAAAACAAGAAAGAGATACATTTGTGTGTATACAAATGTATACACATGTTTATACATATTTACAATCTTTACAAAAGTAATCATCTACAAATATAAATCTCAGAAACATTTTTAAAATGCAACATACTTTCTTTTGGCTTTTTTTTCAGCCCTCCCCTTCCTTATCACCTCCTTGGAAATTTTTTATTTAAAAGGAGAAAAAAAGAAAAGCAGTTGATGAAATGTGACACTAGGTATTTCTTTAAGACAAACATTCTCTCAAAAATACATCTTTTATTAAGGATTTCAGAATTAACCTGTGGTATTTCTATTACCTCACCTGGAATCAAAGTCTCTTTCTCAGGCGTTGCCTTCAGCGTAGTTTGTGGGAGGTCAGTGGTTGAATGCTCTTCCCCAAAAGAATGGGCTGCCAGATCCCTGGTTTGGCTTTGCCGCCATCTTGTGGTAATTGGGCTACTGGCAACAGGAACTTCAGCCGACAGCCTCTTCGCAAAGTCGCTCTTAAAGTTAGAATATGTAGGATTGACTGCATCAAATACCTGTTTAACAACAAAAAGATCAGTGATTTATCGTAGCCTCAATGATACAAAAATTCCTTAAAAGAGAATTATAAACAACTCATCTAGTAAAACACAAGCAATATATATATATAAAATTATAAAATTTTGTGACCTGGGAGAATGTTATTTTATAATATATGTATAAAATAAACTTAACACAATTACATATATATACTTAGAGCCTCTACTCAAGGGTCTCAAGACATACCGAAGCACTTTAGGGAGTAATTATCTTTATGTTTATTACTATTACATACAAATATAAAATATGAAGTTAAAAGGGGGCAAGGTATAGCTCAGTGGTAGAGTGCTTAGCATGCATGAGGTCCTGGGTTCAATTCTCAGTATTTCCATTAAAAAAATAAATAAACTTAATTAAAAACATTGTTTTTAATTTTATAAAAAATAATATTAAAATATGAAGTTGAATAATACTACAATACTGAACATACAAGATGTTTATATAAAATCATAAAATTTCAAATCTGGAAATAAACAGCAATTTTCTAGTCCAATCTCATTTCACAGATAGGAAAACTGAGGCTTAACTTGCTCAACATCTGTCCATCCCCTCTCAGAAACATCAGGAGTTTGGTATTTATAGATCCTTTAGTGATGAGCCATGCCATGTAGCTATGTGAAATTAAAATGCAAACGACAAACTAGAAGTGAATTATTTTTTAACAAAATGACAAGCATGTTAGGTTAATATCCTTACATAAATGGCTTTTACAGAAACTTAGACAAGTTCACCATCTTAAGAAAAAAATGAGCAAGGGACATAAAAAAGCAATTCACAAAAGAGATATATAAATGTCCTCAAAATATTCAAGCTCACTAGTAATCAAAAAAATACAAATTTTAAAACAATAATGAGACATTAGCAATGATTTTTTTAAATGACAATTCCCAGTGTTGAAGGTTCTAGAAATAAGCATACAGTGCTGGTGGAGCAATTAGTAACTGAAAGGACAACCTGGTGATGTGTGTCCAAAGCCTTCAAATATGTGCCTAACCTCCACTGACCCAACACTTGGTAAAACAGGTCTTTTATTTATTCCCATTTCGCTAATGAAGAAACTGAGGTTTAGAAGTTATGTGAATTGCCCAAGACCACACAGTAAGTGGAGATGCCATACCCTAACCTCATCAGTCTGACTCCACAGTCCACACCTTCAGCTGAGAACATGCCAGTGTGTACTACAGTCTATGTGCTTTTAAGGCCAAAAAGATGAGGGGGACTCAGTGGAGACCGATGGAGAATTAACTGGGTAAACTATGTGATATCCAGCAAAGAGAATACTCTGCAGCCATTAGAAATAATGACAGACAGTAAGGAATTGCAAATCAAAACCACAGCGAAGCACCACCCCACACCCACTAGGATGGCTATAATTAATTGTCAATCGATAACAAATGTTGGTGAGGATACGGAGAAATCAGAACTTTTGTACATTGCTTAGCAGAATCCAAAATGGTGCAGCTGCTGTGGGAAACAGTTTGGCAGTTCCTCAAAAGGTTAAACCTAGAATTACATATGAATAGCATTTCAACTCCTAGGTATATACCCAAGAGAAACGAAAATGGATGCTCAAACTCAAACAAATATAGGTACACAGATGCTCATACTGGCATTATTCATAATAGCCAGAAGGTAGAAATAGATAAATAAATTGAGGGGGATGTATGTGTGGAATGGAATATACATATTCATATATAGCAATGTATATATGAATATTAACTATAAAAAGGAATGAAGTACTGATTAAATGCTACAACATGGGTACAACTTGAAAATATTATGACAAGTGAAAGAAGCTAGACACAAAAAGTCACATATTGTATGATTCCACGTATATAAAATAATCAGAATAGGTAAATCCATGGAGACAGAACACAAACTGGTAGTTTCCAGGGGTTGGGGGAAGGAGAAAATGGGGAGAAACTGCTTAATGGGTACTGAGTTTTCTTTTGGGATGGTGAAAATAATTTGGAACTAGATAGAGGTGGTAGTTGCACAACACTGTGAATGTACTAAAGACTGCTGAATTTTTTACTTTAAAATGTTTAATTTTATGTTTTTAATTTTTATGATCTCACCTCAGTAAAAAAACTTTTTTAAAAAATAGGACAATAGTCAATAAAACATGCAAATGCTTCTAATATATTACCAAGTGAAAAAAGGAACCTATAAGAGTATGTCAATATGGTCCCATCTCCAATCTATAAATAAAAGACAGGAAGGAGATAGGCTAGAACATTAAGGCAGTGAGTACTGGTTTTGTTTGGTTTTTATAGTAAGTGGGTGTGAAGATCGTCCAGCCACCTGCAGTCACTCTGGCTGGTGAGAGGAGCTCTCTCTTTCTCCTCACTGCTTTTCTCTGTTTTCCTCCAGAAACTGCACCAAAAAGGACACCTTCCCCAGAAAAAGAGAAGCCAGGAGCCTGAGGCCTCAGTGTTGTTTGGGGTCAGGTTTTTTGCCTTTCAATTGTTCTACTCCTGTTCTTGGGTTTGGGGTAGGAACAGGAAAGCTGAGAGCAGGAGAGGCAGAGCACTGGAAACGTGCATCAGGCACCTCACACTCACAAGCCCAGACTGGGGGGGGGGGGCAGCAAGGGAGGAGCTGGCAGAAGCCGGTCTGGAGGGAGAAACACTGCCTACTTGGACTTTCATCTTCCCACTTTTGTGTTTCCCTCCTCCAGGGAAATCCCAGGGCCAACTCAATGGCTGGAGCTAGCCGGCCCCAGTTAGAGGAAGACTGAGTGGTGTGACTCTCTCTCCACCTGGAACGCCTGTGTTTCAGCCTCGGCAAGAAAGAGGGTCAGAGGGGCGCGTTGTCCTATGTTTTAATAGAAGTTAGAAATTTGGACTTTTCATATCAATTTCCCTACCTTTTAAAGTTTTCAAGGGATTCAAACATTTTAAAACACTGTGGGATGAAGCAAACCCTATCTGTGGGCCCCATTCAGGCTGTGGGGCTACGTCTGCAACCTCTGCAAACACCAGCCAAGCAGCCCTCACCCTTCCACGCAGCAAGATGTCGGGGAGACACCGTATCTGAAGATATATTTAATTTGCAACAAACATGATACTCTTGATCAAAGGTCTTCTTGCAGTCCCAAATTTAAATACACATTTTAAAACAAAATGATCCTGAGTTTCAATGAGGATAAATAAAGAATTTGATATGTCAGCTAAGAAAAATGATCAAGAAATTTCACACTGACACTGACAACGAGCCATGTCTCTCTGGCTCGTCCACTGTCCCTCTCTCCACGCTCTTTCCCCATCTAGGATGCTTTTGCACAATTCTCTGCTGGGGTAGCTTCCAGCCCACCCTCGTGGCTGGGATCAGCCACCTACCAGCTCCTTCAGGAAGGTGGCTCTGACATTCCTTCCCATTCTAAACCAGGTTTGGCAGGGTACATGGCTAGTTTTATGTGTCAGCTTGACTGGGCTAAGGGATGCCCAGAGAGCTGGTAAAACATTGTTTCTGGATGTCTCTGTGAGGGTGTTCCTGGAAGGCATTAGCTTTCGACTCAGTAGACTGAGTAAAGAGATCCACCCTCACCAACGAAGGTGAGCACCATCCAATCCCTGGGGACCCAAATGGAACAAGAAGGCAAAGCAAGGGTAAATTCTCTCTTCTTGAACTGGGACATCTATCTTTTCCTGCCTTCAGATGTCAGAGCTCCTGGTTCTCAGACATTTGGACTCCTTGACTCAGACCAGCAGACTGAGTTGTACCAGCTTTCCTGCTTCTCCAGCTTGAGGTTGGCAGGTTGTGGGATTTAACCTCCATAATCTCATATATATCCTGTTGGATCTGTTTCCCCAGAGAATCCTGACTAATACAATAGTGGTCCCCTAAGATACCCAGATCTGAATCCCTGGGACCTATGAATGTTATCTTATATGGCAAAGGAGTTCTGCAGATGTGATTAAGTTAAGGATCTTGAGATGCGGAGATCATCTCGGATTATCTGGATGGCTCCTAAATGAAATCATATGTCCTTCTAGAGGCAGGCAGAGGGACATCTGACTACACACAGAGGAGGAGAAGGCAGTGTGACCACAGAGGCAGAGACTGGAGTGAAGCACAACCAAGAAATGCTGGCTTCATCAGAAATTGGCAGAGGCAAGGAACGGCTTCTCCTTAAAGCCTCTGGAGGAAAGAAGGCCCTGCTAACTCCCTGGCTTCTACCAGGGAAACTAATTTTGGACTTCTAGGCTCCATAACTAAGAGAGTAAATGTGTGTTGGTTTAAGTCACCACATTTGTGGTGATGTGTTACATCAGTCTTTGGAAACTACTGAGGACTCCTTGTGCTTCCATGGCTCACTGTGTGTGCTTCCAATAGAGCCCGGTCACATTTTATTAATAATAACAACATTTACCAAGCACTCAGTATGTGCCAAGCACTGAGATAAATGTATTATAAATGTTTTAGAGGGTTTTTTAATTTAAACTTCATCACAGCCCTATGAGATAGATATAATTCTTTACCCCATTCTCTAGAGTTGGAAAGTAAAGGTTAATAGGCTTGAACAAGGATAACTTGAGCAAAGATACAGCACTGATAAGCAGTGGATCCAGGATCCAGGCCACTGCACACAGCGGTACACATCACTGTCATTATGAAGGGCAGCCCCTGGAAGATGCAGGGCACAACCTCACAACCAACCAGGGCAACCCAAGGTTTGAACTCACAAAGTGATTCAGTCCCTGTTTTGTTAGCACCTCTGCTCATGCTATAGTCTCAACGTTTGTGTCCCCAACTCCGAAAACATCATATCGGAATCCTAACCCCTAAAGATGATGATGTTAGTAGATGGGGCCCTTGGGAAGTGATGAGATCATGAGGGCAGAGCCTTAACAAATGGGATTAGTGTCCTTATTAAAGAGGCCCCCAGAGCTCTCTAGCCACATCTACCACGTGAGGGCACAACGAGCAGTCTGCCACACAGAAGACAGCCCTC